TGGGTGACAGAGTAAGACTCCAATTCAAAAAAAAAAAAAGAGAGAGAGCATGAGCTAGGCTATCCTGGCAGAGGGCAAGGTAGGAGAGAGGGAGGGGACAGGGACAGAGCCCTGAGAGCTCAATTTCAAACCAAGCTGGAGAGATGCTCAAGAAAGTAGGCGCGCCAAGCACATGGAATCAAGCAGATCATGTGAAGACAGGTGGTTAAGAGGCCATTGCAGTGGCTTGTGGGAACATTTTTCATGGCATCGGGGAGACCAAAACCAGATCATGATAGGTTGAGGGGTCACTAGTAGAGAGGACTTTGAAACAGGGTGTGCGATTCCTGCATCACTGCTGCCAGAAGTTTGAGGATGCGTTTATTTATTTATTTAGAGACAGGGTCTTGCTCTGTCACCCAGGCTGGAGTGCAGTGGCACAATCATAGCTCACAGCAACCTTGACCTTCTGGGGTCAGATGATCCTCCTGCCTCAGACTCCTGAGTAGCTGGGACTACAAGCATGTGCCTGGCTAATATTTTTAAATTTTGGGTAGAGATGGGGGTCTCACTATGTTGCCCAGGCTTGTCTCGAACTCCTAGACTCAAGCAATCCTCCCGCCTCGGCCTCCCAAAATGCAGGGATTATAGGGGCGAGCCACTGTGCCAGCCTGAGAATGCGTTTAATACAATAATTGCTGTAGTTTAAACAAAAAAGTAAACTTGATGGTAAAGAGGAGGGAGTTAGCGTCATACAGCAAAGGAGTAGCTTGACAGAGATTCAGCACTGAAAGATTTTTCTATATCCAAGGACAGGGAGGCTGGAACGTTTGGGCAGTGCAAATGAGAACACTGAAGAGGGAAGGATGGGCTCAGGTGCCAGGTGGACATGGTGGCCTTAGAAAAGGGCAGACTTGCAGAGTCAGGCGGGGAGAGCATGGGTTCCCCTGAGCAGAGCTGAGCTGAGCTGAGCCTGCTCCAGCCCGGTGGCCTGGCTTTTCTCTGGGGCACCTGCGGAGAGAGCAAGGTGGGTGACTGGGAGTGGAATAAAGGTTTCAGGTAGTGGGTGGTGGAGGTGGGCAGTGTACTGAGAAGCCACTGGGGACGTGAAGGAATTTCCACGTGCTGGTAAAGGCCCAGACGTGTTGGAAGTCATGACCCGTCATGGCTGCTCCAGTGCGCGTGATTGTGTGGTTTTCCCTGGCAATGTGGTAACCATGAACAGGACTCAAGGGTTAAGGGCTTTTTCTGGGCAAATTGGGGAGATAATTGGTGTCTTCAGTAAGAGTGTCTGAGATGATTGGCCTTAGTGAACAGAAGGAGCTGAGGTGCAGGGCCTATGTCTGGATGAGGTGTTAGAGGGGGCAGCGGCCAGGAGGGAGAGCTGGCTGGACAGGAGGGGCTCAGGGAGTGGGTCATGGCCAGGAAGAATTCTGAGATACGTCTGGTGAGAGGCCAAGGCCGAGGAGGACGTCCAAGTGAGGGCAGAGGTGAAGGTCCATATGGCCAAGGAATAAAGGATTGAAAGTCCAGGGAGTCGGAGGGTTCTCTCATGAGGAGGGTGTTGTGCCCTACAAGCAGCCAGAGCCCAGTGCTGGCACCTTGGATGATGGGGCAGGGAGGCTGGGAGGCCTGAGGCAACAGTCACAGCGTGGTTGGTAGAGTCACTGTGGCAGCTAGGGGCTTTGCAAAAAACACCCTGGGCCAGCTGGGTTTGAGAAGGTTAAGCTGTCTCCACTTGGGAGGACTGCAGAGAAAACTGTCCAGTGGGCACATTCCAGCGTGAATGGGGCGTGGAGGTCGTGATGAGTTGGAGGTTGGAGGGAAGCACAGCTTTCTTTTTAGAGGCTCCGGAGGGCTCAACAAGTGAAAAGCTGGATCGGCATGGGGCAGCTTGAGCCTTGAGCAGGTGTGACTGCTGAGGTCACTGGTGGCTCTGCCTTTACTAGCCATGTGGCCTGGGGCAAGTCACTGCCCACCCTCAGCATCAGCCTGAGATCAGAAAATACCTACAGTCATGGGCTGGTATGCCTCAAGGGCCTGGGAGACGGGAGCTGCTGGTAAATAACAGGAGCTGGATCTGAACAGATGGGGCAGGGCAGGGGGCAGGAATGCACCTGTGAAAACAGAATGCTGGTGATCTAGCTGCCCCCACCCACTAGTGACCTCGATGAGGAGAAAGGGCCTCAGCAGAGAAAGCACAGGCAGCGGCCCGCACCTGCAGCCCACCGGTGTGTCAGCATTCCCATGCCCCCTGAAGCCCCACAGACCACCTCTGAAACCCTCTGCCTCCGAAGCAGCCCCCTCCCCAGCTTCAGAACCTCCAGTTCCTCTCCCACCTCCCTCTCTTCCTGATCCCTCCCACCCACCCCCCAAAATAAAGAAGCCAAAAGTGGACACAAGTGTGACTCTTAAATTATTATAATTTCTTCCTCCTGTTGCTTACACCCGAGGTGGGGGGGCAGGGGTAGGGGAAGGGAACAGGAGAGGGGGAGAATGCCTCCCCCCCTAAGGCACTGACTGGGAAAGCCGCAAGTAGGGAGAAGGGAGGCCACATTGTCCTCACTCTCTGGGGCTAGGCCCCAGGTCTCCCCAGCCCTGGGCTTCCCCCATCACCTGAAATGCTAAGATGAGGCCCAGGGCGACACGACTTCCCCCCACCCCAATATATTACATCATTACTTTTTAAATAGATACAGGAACTGGTCCCGCTACCCCCTCCCTGTGGCCCCCTCCCCACTGTTGGGGGTACCTGGGCAGCTGTGCAAATGGGCATGGGGGTGCATGGAAGGGAGGAAGAGCACCGGGCCCCTGAACCTACCCCTTTTAAGGAGGGGGAGGGGCCATCAGGCCAGGAAGGGGAAATAGTGCAAGGCAGAGCCCAGGCCGCAACGGGGGTCCAGCACCCAGAGGGGAAGGAGGGGAGATACCCCCCACCCCCAGCAGAATTGGGGAGTCAAAAATCTGAAACTAGATTTCAACAAGACCAACAGAAGAGGCTATGTACAGAAGGGCGGTGGATTCGATCCTAAGAGAAGAGTGGAGGATTATTCTCCCCTGTCCACGGAAAGCCCGGCTGGCTGGGCTCGGGGAAAGGCATCTCTTTCCCACAGCTCCTCAGCCCACTTCCCCCGCGGCCAAGCGAGAGGTTATTTGCC